TTGTTCCATTACAAGAATTCTGGGCAACAGGGACGGACAATTAGGGACAGTTTCAAATTTGTCCCAAAAAGGTAGTTTATTTGGGACGGAAGGGGCAGTTTGTCCCAAATTACCCAAAAAAGTCTAAAATACCAAAAAAAAAAAAAAAAAAAAAAAAAAATCCCCCCTCTCCAATTTGTTAGCGCGAAAATTTAGCGCCATATTTATATTTTTTTTAATAAAAAAATTTATGAAAATGGCCTTTTGGGACAGTAAACGTACCGTCCTTGATTACTTACCAGGTAATTTTACAAAACTATCCTTCTAAAATGACGTAGTTTCGGTCAATTAACATATATATATTTTGCCCACAAGGGAGACACTTGCGCAGAACCCTCTCAATTATATTAAACTTGTTCTGCCCTCTTTCTGAAGGATTGCCCTAGCTAGCTCTTCTCCTTCCGTCTTCTATCTCAGACGATGATGATCCCTCTGCCTTTACATGACATCTAGTGTTGAAAAACTTGTATGGTCTTCCCCAATATCGATCTCTTTCTTTTCAATTCAAGTCATTGCGAACTAATTTTCTCTTTCGCAAAAGTGGGTATCAACATGGAGGTCTTGAAGAGCCCAACAACAACAGCAGCCGGAAACAATCTTTCTTGATATCCTCTGCTCTCCTATCGATGAGTCCTCTAACACTCTCTGCCGTCTTCAACATCAATCCCACCGCCGGTAATTTTCACTCCTCAATTCCCTTATTTCCCAATTAATGAACCCTAACTGCGTATACATTCACTATATACACATATATACACATGCATATAATTAACATAAATGTTTTAGATGCACAAAACTTGAGTGTTCGCTTTATTGTTCACTGCTTAACAACCATATTTGTACTGAAAACGAAATTAAGCAAAAAAAAAATGTAACAAAAAGGAAAACGGGGGGTGGGTTCAAAGATCAATATTTAATTTGGTAAGTAGTCATGCATGGAACTCTGTATTTGGATTAGGATCAAGTTATGATTAACTTTGAATATTAAATTTTTGGTGAAAATGAGACAGAAAAATTAAAAAAGAAGAATTGTAAAGGTCTTCTTTGAATTTTTATTTTGATTTAGAATTGTGGAATGCTGGAGAAGATTTTTAAAACTTGAAATCAGAAGATAAGTTCTTGTCGCGCTCATCCTTCCAAATTGTACATTAAGCGCATTAATTTGGACTTCAATTTTCAATTTTCTTATGGTATTACATTAGGAATTTCCTTTTGGTAGACGTGCTTTATGTCCCAGTTGGTGGGAAGCCCTACAGTTGGTGTGTGAGCTTCTGTTGGAGTCGCCTACTTACCCTCTAACTTCTAATCAAACTTCAACCAATTGCCAGGCTAAAAATATATATTCCTTCTGCAGTTAAGTTTTCTAAATTTTCTCAAACATATGATTGTAATGCAAAACATAAACTTTACTTTTAAAATAGTGGCACTTTTTTACCTTTCAAAATAGAAGATCTAGGTTTAAATCCCTTAAAAGAAAAAGTGGAATGTAAGAGTGAGTTTCTATTAAAAAAAAATTATTAAATAAAATAAAATATAAAATAAAATAGAATAAATTTTCTTATATATATTTTTTGAAGGAGTTATGCTATATATTGCTATTATGAAGTAAAATAGACAATTGTCTTCACTTCTTTTTCTTTTTAATCCATTGAGGAACCTGATATCTCGCGTACTTTGAGAATAATATAAAATTTCATAATTCGTATAAGAGTAGATTCTTTGCACAATCTATAAACTAAGCTACTTCATTAATTTAATTTTCTTGCTGGAAAGTCGATCCTTTTTTGTGGGTTTTGTTGATTGATCTTAGTAATATATAATTTGCAGTTTATTGGCTTCTTCTTTGTCTAATTGGGTGAACATCTAATTCATTTTAATTGGGAGGCAGCAAAGTCAGTCCATCAATGGTGGACAAAGCTTCTTCTTCCTTCTTTGTATTCTGATCTCACCCACTTTCCTACTCTAGACACTCCCTGCAACAGGTCCGTCATCTTCTCACAAACCCAACTTTTTCATTTTTGAATATTCTTCTTATGGCTTTGGAAATATTTTAATTTTGCATTAACCTAAATGGTACTGATGGGTTTTAACGTTTTTTTTTTTTTTTTTGGAAAAAAAAAAAATCTTCCAAAAAAAAAATCATAACAAACTAAATTTAGTAGTATTATAAATTATTGGCCTGAGTTGTATCCATCTTCTTTTGGAACTAAATTTTTAAAAAGTTTTATTGGACAAGAAAACAGAATATATAAACAAGACTTTATATCCCATTGATCTTCTTATCCACAAGTAGAGTGCAAGTTAGCTGTAAAGCTAATTAATTGATAACTATAGCCAACAAAACAAAACAATTTTTTTTTTTTTTTTTTTGATAACTAGAGTGTATCATGTAGATAAGAAGAAGTGCAAAGTATGTGTCCAAGGACAAATGTTATTTTGAAACTGTACAGCTTAATCCATCACTTTGCCTTTTCCAGTTCTGCAGACTTGGTTCTAGCTTCATAAGATGTTTAAGAGAGGGTTTTGTTTTGTTTGTTTGTTTTTGTTTTTTTTTTTCTTCTTTCATTTTTTAGTTAGTATTATATAAAAAATATATGTATATATATATATATTTATCTGACAAGGAGAAGGTGTCACGCCCTGTCTTGGTGCGCACGAATTGGTTAGAGTGGTGCTGAAAGTCACACCAACTAAGAGAGTGCCTCCCAGGTCACCGCAAATTGATCCAATATCTGGGACTTTTTCCCTAATTATGCTTGACTCACTAGCTATTTATTAAATTGTTATTTGTCACTAAATTGTTTCTTGGGGAATTTTTTTCCTATAATACTTTAAATTCAACAAGTGACTCGATGATCCCTATTATTTTGTATTGCTAATCTTACAGTTTTAAAAATACCAAATTCAAGCTTTATTTTTCAAAAGATTACTGAGCTATTTTAACAATTTTTTGGTAACCAATTGTTATAGAATGCAACACTTGTGTATTGTGTATTTAAGAAAATCTCTAATCCCCAGCATTACTGATCCACTTGAGCAGCCAAAAATGTTATCAATTTAATGGATTTGTAAATTTTGCATTAGCTCAAAATGTTTAGTTGAACGCATAAAGTGCCCATCCTTTATATTTTTGGAATACCCCATCCATTTGTCTCAGTTGATTGGATTGATAGCTTGGAATGTTTTCTATCATTTGCTTCTTTGCTTCGTGTTGTAGATCTTCTCTATAAGGATTACCAGAGCGACTAGAAGTTCAGTGTCACTACTTACTCTTCTACGGGTGTTGTAAGTGTATTTTATTTTCAATATTTAATTTTTTTTTCCCGTTGCTTTTTAGATTTGTATATTTGCTTTTTGGCTTGGTGAGGCTAGAGTTATCTCTTTATTTATTGTTTTGTGTGTATGGTGTAATTTGTTGAGTATTTTTATATCTAACTCAATGTGCTTTGTTCAAAAAGTAAAAGAAACCAGTTCAATAGATTTAACACACATGTTTTTTATGGCCTTATATATACATATATGTGTGTGTGTGTGAGTATTTGTATTAGTTCACATCTAGATAATGAAGTACTAGGAAATGGGGCTTTTGTTTTTGATCTCTTAGGTTTTGGTTTCGTCTAACATTGTGATATATAGTTGAAGTTATGGACAAAACTCTATGATTTTGTTTTGTATTCTATACAGATCTGTTCATGTGTTGCCCAAAAATAAAAACTTATTTGAATTAAATCTGGGAAAAAATTATCTTTAGGAAAAAAAATAATTATTATGTTCCTTCATTTTCTGGTTGTTTGGGAGGCTATAACAGATTTTTTTATTTTTATTTTTATATTCCTGGACACAATTGTAGTCATGTTAATTCTTTCAACTATTGGAAGTTTCAAGGCTTTATACATAATTGGATTCTCCAATATGAAATTGACCTAGAGCGGGTACATAGATCACCTTTGCTCAATTTCCAAATTTTACTTTTACACAAGACTACGATTATACTGATCAGAATTCATACCAAAATTTAGAAGTAAAAAAGCAAACCCAAAGACACCATTTTTTATGTTGCGTAGATGTGTTCTGTCCCACATGGGATGTAAATTAGGTGATCTTGTGATTTTGTAATTAAACAGTCTAATTTTCAATGTCTTGTGATTTCTTAATTTCCTGTTCTATTTGTTTCAGTAAATTTGTCTCCATGTGTTTTGATTAGATTTTAAGTCTACTTCTTTTTTTTTTTTTTTTTTGAATATCTTGTTTCTATATACATGTGGTTTTGTTTGGCTTTGGATTTGAACTAAATAGTGTTGTTTTATCCTCCTTTTGGTTCAGATTTAGTGATTTTTCATTAGAAATTAGTTCACGTCTAGATAATGAAGCGCTAGGAAATGAGGCTTTTGTTTTTGATCTCTTAGGTTTTGGCTTCGTCTTAACATTGTGATATATAGTTGAATTTGTGGACAGAACTATATGATTCTGTTTTGTATTTTATACGGAATTGTTTGTTCATGTTTTGATTGATGTTATTTTTAAGCTTCATTGTTTTCTTCAATTTAATTTGTTTAAATGAAAGGTTCTCTTATAAATATGTTTGAATTTAATCCGGGTAGATATTATATTTAGGAAAAATAATAATTATTATGTTCCTTCATTTTTTGGTTGTTTGGGAGGCTATAACAATTTTTGTCCTGAACATACTTGTACATAATGTGTTCAAAATAAAGTTGTTCCTTACATATATATATGTTTATAACACATTTCGACATAATTGAAATACAAAATAATGTGTTAAAAATTAATAAATGTATTTCCACACAATTGCATCTATTTTAATACATTATTCATGTTTCTATTTAATGGGATAGGACCATGGATGAGGAAATTGAAAGAGTTATACATACACATATATATTCAATATGCATCAATTCTATTGTATCCATAATTGATTTTGTTTTTGATGAACCAGTTACATGGATAAGTCTTGGATTCATCATCATGCTAGGGGTAGTGAAGGGTACAATAGAGGCATAAGAAACTTCATAAAGTTGGCTAACAGACATAAAGATGGGCAGGGTAGGATCAGATGTCCGTGTCGTTTGTGCAAAAATACTGTGTATAAGCCAATTAAGGAGGTTGAAAAACATCTATTTCAGTGTGGGATGTACAAGTCGTATACTAATTGGATATGGCACGGGGAGGGTACTGTTAACATCACTAGTACTGTTAATACAGAATATGATGTTAATACCGACAATGGGGATAATGCCGATGAGGGACGTGGAAACGAAGACAATGTATTTGAACTGCTGGATAATGTACGAATGGGAACATTCACTAATGCAGAACAAGCAGAAGATCCACTTGAAGTTGATGTGGGAGACGAAAGATTTAAGAAATTGCTAAATGACGCACAATGTGAATTGTGGCCAGGTTGTCAGAAAAACTCTAAGTTGTCAGCAATATTAAAGTTGTTCCATATGAAAGTTGTAGGCCGAATGACCAACAAAAGTTTTGACATGTTGCTTAAGTTGCTAAAAGAGGAGTTGCTTCCTGATGACAACACATTGCCAAAGTCATATTACGAGACTAAAAGCTTGTTACGTGACTTGGGTCTCGGATACGATTCCATCTATGCATGTAAAAATGATTGTGCTCTATTCTGGAAGGAGAATGAAGGTAAAAAATGTTGTCCACAATGTGGTGAGTCAAGGTATAAATCTCGCGAAGGTAAAGGTAAGAAAATTCCTCAAAAAGTTCTACGATACTTTCCTTTGAAACACAGGCTTCAACAATTGTTTATGTCAAGGGATACAGCCGTAGACATGCGGTGGCATAAGGAGAAATGCGTCAAAGAGACAAATGTGTTAAGACATCCAGCTGATTCAAAAGCTTGGGAGGAATTTGACAATAAGCATAGTTGGTTTGCTACCGATCCTCGTAATGTTCGTCTCGGGTTAGCATGTGATGGTTTTAATCCATTTGGTAACATGAGCAATGCTTATAGTATGTGGCCTGTAATTATTGTGCCTTATAATTTGCCACCTTGGATATGTATGAAGGAACCATATATGTTTATGTCATTGCTTATTCCTGGTCCTAAATCACCTGGTAATGACATTGATGTGTACCTGCGACCGTTGATCGATGAGTTGAAAGAATTATGGATGGATGGTGTGATGACATATGATGCATATAGCAAATCTCACTTTAACATGCATGCGGGGTTGATTTGGACTATACATGATTTTCCCGCCTATGCGATGACATCCGGATGGATGACAAAGGGTTATATGGCATGTCCAAATTGTAACAAACGCACATGTTCTTGTTATTTGAGTCATGGAAAGAAGATATGTTACTTGGGAACTCGTATTTTTTTGTCATCCGAACACGCTTATAGGAAGCGTTATAAGCAATTTAATGGTGAGAAGGAAGAAAGACAGCCACCAAAGCAGTTGATTGGTGATGATATTCTAGAACAACTTAATCTCATACCCGAGGTTAGATTCGGAAAAGGACCAAACAATAAGAAGCGGACTCGTGGGAAGGAGGAACTTAATTGGACAAAAAAGAGTATATTCTTTGAATTGCCTTATTGGAGAACGCTTTTGTTACGGCACAACTTGGATGTTATGCACATAGAGAAAAACATATGTGATAACGTATTGGGGACATTAATGAACATTGAAGGAAAGACGAAAGATACGTTCAAAAGTCGGATGGATTTAGAAGAAATGGGTATTAGAAAAGAACTTCATCTTAGGCGTAATGGTGAGAAATTTGAGATGCCACCTGCGCGTTACACATTGTCAAAGGATGAAAAAAGGCAATTGTGTGATTGGTTAAAGTCGGTGAAAATCCCAGATGGTTATGCGTCGAACATAAGCCGTTGTGTGAATGTCAATGAATGTAAGATATCTGGATTGAAAAGTCATGATTCACATGTTCTCTTACAGCGTCTCCTCCCTCTAGCTATACGGGGATTGTTACCCGTTGATATTTGTAATGCGATAGCAGAGCTTGGTTTATTCTTTAAGGAGATGTGTTGTCGGACCCTTAAAATGGATGTCTTAGAGGCATTAGAAAGGGACATTGCTGTTATAATATGCAAGTTAGAGATGATATTTCCTCCATCATTTTTTGACATAATGGTGCACTTAGCTATGCATTTGCCACGTGAGGCTATCATCGCAGGACCTGCCCAATATCGGTGGATGTATCCCATTGAAAGGTGATGTATATTTCTAATAAATAAAATGTTTTGAGGGCATTACATGATATTTAATTATGTATAAGTATTTTGATGTGTATGCAGGTTTTTACATACTCTTAAGTCTTATGTGCGTAATAAGGCACGTCCTGAAGGGTCCATTGCCGAAGCTTATGTGGACAATGAATGTGTTACATTTTGCGCAAGGTTTCTTTAAAGGATTGAGACACGATTTAATCAAGAAGAAAGAAAGCACGAGGGCGACTATCGTACCAATTGGTCCACTTTTTCACAACTAAGGCAAGTGGTTCGTCCTTTAGGGTCTGGAAGTTTAGAAATACTTGACATTGCAAGCATACAAAAGGCTCGATTCTACATGTTAAATAATTGTCCAGAAATTGAGTCATACGCACTGTAAGTTATATATTGTATTTTTTTTTTTTTTAAATTATCTACTTGTAAATTATAAAATGCATATATTAATATCACATAATTATTTAGTGCACACAAGGCTACACTTGAGCAAGAAAATACGGTTAATGTACAATCCAGACACGCAAAAGAATTTCCCAGATGGTTAGAAACACTGGTAAGTCTATAATGTGCTTGACATACCTACCATTTCTTTTAGATGTTGTGTCCTTGTGCATTAGTTTAACACTCTACAAATTTTTCATAGATAAAGGAAGAGCGTTATCATAACAAGTCAACAATTAATGATGACCTTTATTCATTAGCGTGTGGACCTGAATCTCGGATACATCGATATTCTGGTTGCATTGTAAACGGAGTTAGGTTCCATACAAAGGAAAGGGAGAAAAATCGAAGAACACAAAATAGTGGTGTGTTAGTCAAAACAGAGGACCTTGATTACTATGGCGTCTTGACAGATATCATTGAGTTACAATACCCTTTGAAAAGGCGGGTTGTCCTATTTAAATGCGATTGGTTCAACACAAAGACTGGTATTAAGAATGATACTTATTTTAGGAGCATAAACATAGCCCGTAAATGGTACAAAGATGAGCCTTTTGTGTTGGCTAATCAAGCTAAACAAGCCTTCTTCGTCAAAGACAGCAAATTACGAGGGACGTGGGAGGTCATTCAAGATATAACACATAGAAGCTCCTATGATGTTCCTGAAATGGAAGATGATAGCAAACTTACAGCTGAAATGTGTACTGCAGCATATCAAGAGGATGAACCATGTATTGTGGATAGGGTTATTGAAGCAGCAAACTTTGACATGGATCCACTCCCTTTGAATAGGGATGGCTTGGAGGTTGAAAGTATTGATGCTGAAATAATTCTTAAAACTAGTCAAGAATCACGTTATGAATTTGACTTTCTTGAAGACAATGATGAAATCTCCATTGAAGACAATTCAGACGAGGAAGAAAAATTGCTTAGTGAAGATGATACTGATTTGGATGACATGTGATGAGTTTTATTTTTATTCATTTTTTGTTGAACACATGCAAATTTGAAGTTAAATTGTCTTCAGTACTTGAACATTAAGTTTTAGAATATGTATTGTTTTTATCTTTTTGTCTTATTATTACTTCTTTTTTTACATTCACATTATCTATTATTTTTCTTTATATTAATTTTCTATTGTCTTGTTATTTTAATACTTCTCCCTCTTACTTAATTGTTACTCTCTAATCTATCGATTTTTTGATTCGTTATAAAGATTTTATTCGCCTTTTGCTGTAATATACCATGGCATCCAATGAACCTCGTCGCTCTTTGAGATCTAACAATGAACTCACCCAAAATGCTCCTGCATCGTCCCAGCCACAACCAATAGTGGAAGGTGATATTTTCTAATCTTTACATTTACTACACTTGGTCTTTGAATTTACTAAAAGTAGGTCTCAAAATACTTTTACAAGTTACTTTCATGTCTTTTATTTTTCAGGTTCTTCAAGAGAATTCCCGAAGCGTGGAAAAGCTGTAAACAAAAAAAAATATAAAATCAAAAATTACAATGGGGGTATCATTCCGATTAAGTTTAACGACGATTATTCAAAACCGGTGGAGGAACATTCAGATTTATGGGAGAGAGAGCTTGGGATCATTGCTCGTGATTACATTCCACTATGCTATAACAATTGGCTGAAGATTCCGAAATCTCATAAACAGTTCTTATATTGTAAAATAAAGGTTTGCCTTAATTAATGCATATCTTTGTGTGGGATTTCTTTGTATATTTAGATGATATGAAAAATAATTTGTAATTTTTCCTTTTTTAGCTTTCCAAAATCAGGATTCTGTTATTTTTCCTTCTTTAAAATGATATTTATTTATGGCTTATTCATGTGAAAAACTACAGGAAGAATTCGGAGTTGATTGTGAAAAGGATTCAAAAGCTAAGGAATGCGCAGATAACGCATTAGCCATTGCTCATAGGAAGTATAGGTACCGTTTGAAAGAACATTTTAACCAATTCGAAACAGAAGAAAGTGCACGCCGCAACACACATCCTAAAGTAACTTACGAGGACTGGCAGATCTTGTGCAATAGGTGGATGTCAAAAAAATTTCAAGTTAAGTTTACTACATTTTTTTCTATTTATATCGTTTTCCAAAGATTTCAACGTTTCATTCTTTCCTTCATTTGTTGTATCATTTTTCAATTATTTTGTAGGAAATTAGTGCCCAGAACAAAGAAAAGAGGTCAAAGAATGATGTGATACATTATGCTGGGTCAAAGTCGTTTGCCAAAATGCATTATGAAGAGGTATGTAATATCTAACACTATACTTAGATTTCTTTATTTTTTTTTTCTTTCAACAACCATACCTTATAATATATAAAAATAATTAATGAAGAAACAAAAGGAAGCTACTTTAAATGATGAAGAGAATGAGGATCGTATCGTAGGACCTGCCATTAAAATGTACAAGAATGCACATTTCAAGGAAGGGACTGGATGGACTAATGATGATGCTCGCAAAGCATATGTAAGTTATGAAATCTTTTTTTTTTTTTTTTTTCATAGAAGTTAAATCATCTAACTTAACATGAAGATTCGCCAATTTTCATGGTCTTCTCTATGTCTCTATCTCTCTGCATACACATATATATAATAATGATTAGGAGTTTTGATTTTTTTTTCATAAATCTAGGTGTGACATTTTAATATTAATCTCCGTGTCACCCCTTATCCCTAGAAATCTTCTCTGTTGTTAAAACTTAGAAGTGGCTGGGAAATATGGGAATGATTTTTGTTTTTCTATAAATATTTTTTTTTGGGTAAGTGATCCAATATGACCAACAAACAAGGGTACTTGCTTCATTTGAAAAACATTGGTCTGGTTATATAATTTGAACATTGGCTTAGTAGGTGTTTAGTGTACAACTTTGAAGTTGTGTATAGAATCACTAGACTAGTTATATAATTTGAACATTGGCTTAGATAAAAATTGCATTGACTTTTTCCCCAAAGAACATACTGTGGTTATGTTATGACTGCATATTTCTTTGTCCCTAATTTGTACTATTTCGAGAATTATTTTGACCATCTTCAGTCATAAATGATAACTGAAAGAGTTAACTAGATAGCAAGTTATATCATGTGTTACTTTTTCAGTGTACTGGACATAGATTATTTGCGTTTGGATGTGGAGATTAACTGTAAATTTGCTTGTCGGTAATGCATTTGGGCATACACAATATCTAGTATTGGTTTAACTGCCCTTGTCGGTAAATTTGCTTCCACTTGCTTTGCTGGCAAACTTTATGAATACAAGTAGTTGTGAATCTGTTTTGATTCTGTTAATGTTTTGTATTATTTGTTCCTATTTGACTCTCTATACTTTTAAATTTGACTTGACTTAAATTTAATTAATTATAAATTAATTGATTTTGTGTATAGCTTTTCTGAATTATTGTTTCAAGCTTAGCTAGTTGTGTGTTGCGTCTTTTAATAAAATACTTTCTCAACTTGCAAGGGAGAATATGTAAAAGCCTCTTTCATTTAATCAAAGTGAAAAGCCCTCATTCCATCAGTCTATTCATAGCCTCATCCCTGTACCCTATCCCCCACTTTCCAAGCTAGTTTAGTGCCTTTTTAGTCTCTTCCCTTGAAAAGGGCTCACTTCAGATAAAGATAGAAACCATTAAGTCCAAGTGTCAAAATTTCATATCTAATCATTTTATACACCAACTCTCTGGGAAGAATATACCCTCCTGTTGAAGGGGTCCAGTAAAAAACTCTCTCTCTCTCTCTCTCTTGCACACATTTTTCAGAACATTGTTGACACTAATATTATTTAAACTTTAAGGGTCAAAGTTGCAGACTCTTTGTTAGCCTTTTAAGTCTCAGTCCCAAAATTATAGAGGGCTTGGGAAAACAAAATCAACATAGGGAGAAACAATTTTATGTAAATCACAGCACTCAAATGGCTTGAACTCAACTAACCCTAGCTTTTAGGGTTTTGTGTGCGTATAGCACTAATTCAATTTCAGTCCTGTACCACCAACAGTTGTCACAACTTTGTCTTCATAAAATAAACTTGCTGGTGCATAAAAAATTCTTAAAGCAGCAAGGTAAATCAATTTGCAGCTCACAAACAGAACTGAAAAACTCACAGCAGGCTCAAAACAACAGCATTGAATTAACATTAATATGAAGGGGTAAAACTGGTATTTTGCCTAGACACCTCTGAAAGCTTAGGTCCACAGCTCTGTTTCCTCACCTTACACTTGCTCAGATTAACCACCACACGAACACAGCAATTAATATTCAAGAAATAGCTCACAAACTGTCCTCAGCTACAGTTTCTGCAGAATTGCTTGACTGAAGTGTATTTCTGGAATTTCGTATAATCTCAGGCCTGAATTGAGTTCTCACAAACTAGAACCATCATTACACATATGCTCTGATGTAGAACACACTAACTGAGGCATAACACTTTAATTTTAGTTTTGTGATCTCAGTGTATTAAGCTTAAAACCCTTGCTTATGAGGTTTAAGATGTCAAAACAAGCACTGACCACTTTTTAGGAAATAAACCAACTTCAACAGCTTATAATCATTAACACAATCATGTTCCAAGGGTACACAATCAACTCACACCATGATTTGTATATATACAACTCAGTTCTGTTACTTAAACCAAAAATCAGCAACAATAAAGAAGAATGGGACCTCAAATTTAGCTACAGCACTTATATGCTTAAGAACAGGTTTTTTGCAGCTTTAAATAGATAGAATATACTTGCCTTAACCTGTACAAACCTCTGAACTGTCCTTCATAGATGTTGAGGCTCTGAATCACTCTTTTACACCAGAAAATCAGCAACACAAGCCCTCCTTTCTGTTCAACACATCTACAGCTTCTTTATGAGGATTTCAGTGAATAAAATAGACTTGGATAAACCTGAAAACACCCATTAAACACTCACTATATTCAGCTTCGAGCCCCTTTTGCAATGCAGCCTATTTTAGCTCAATATTCCTCTCTTGGCTCTCTTTTTTGCAGGCTACTATAAGGATGCTTTATACCAACTTTTTGTCACACTGAAAAACCCTAGTATAGCGGATAAGGATGGCTAGATCCACCAATAGCATTAGAGAAAGTATTATCCTGACATTTTCCAGCATATAGAGGGACCTCAATACCCATTGACACATCACACATTCTTGTCTTCTAGTGCACTCACATTTTACAACAAATATGTATATACTGTATACTCTAGCTCAGGATAATGCAAGATTGTTAATTAGCTTTCACTTTGATAAATTAGATACTTGGTTTAGCTATGCTGGATGACACCAAATTGCTATTTAGGCTGAGATCTTAGCTCTTTTGGAAATTGTCAAGGTTGTTTTGAATGTGGGGCTTTGGCAATGTTTGATATAAAAAGATTCTAATATTGTTTTTATCTTTAATTATAATTGATTCATCCATTCTTCTTAAAAAATGAAAATGCAATAATATTATTTACACAATTTTTTTTTTTCCATGAAACCAATGGTTTTACTTGCCTAATAACTGTATGGAAGACTTAACAAAAGGTTTTTTCTTTTGCAGTTGTTGTAGTTGAAAATTGCTATTACTAAATGATTTCTGACTTGGAAAATGTGGAGGGAATTATATTGAAAAATATTGATTCACTTTCAGAGATAATGCTTTAAATTTTGATGCTCTAAAGTCTTCTTCTCATCTTGTTGTATAGATATGAAAAATGTCGTCCTATGTCCATTTATCTTTAGGTCCTGCTATTTGTAATTCTCTTTTTTATAACATTTAAGTAATTGAATATGGTATTCTTTATTTTCTCAAATAATGGTATGCTTACCTATTTGATTTATTTAGGTCTTTTTTCTCTTAAATGTGTTTACTAGTGGGTATAGATGTAGCCTGCAGTTTGGCAGAACCTTGCATATTATATTTAGTAAAGACACAACCCATGAATCAAATAAACAGTGACT